GGAGGTGGCTGCTGGGTAAAAACCTGCTTCTCCAGCTACTTCCCGGCTTGTAGACATTGTTCAAAATTTGTGGGAATCTGGTGTTAGCCAGCAGGGCTAACAGCTCTGAAAAGTTGTTAGCTCTGACCAAAAGCACCCCGATTGGTTTTATTCTGTCTGTGGGCTCCAGCAGACTAAATCTGAATATTACTTCGTAGCCTCGTGTTCATAGTCAGAAACCAACACACAGAAAATGGTCTGTCAGCAGATCTCCTGGAGCGCCGTGGTCGCTGTGCTGTAATGTAATATTATTAACTCATTGGCTGCCAAAGACGTCTATAGACGTCTTTTATGTTTTTCAACACGAGTGGCTGGAGGACGATCTGCTAAAGCTTGTCTGTAAATATCAGGCTTCCAGACAGAGTATGTAGTAACAAATTGACCCTCTAGGGGGCAGTGCCACTTTTGATGGGAGATGAGCATAGACTGTAGGCAAATAAGAAAAAGGGAACGGTTCACTATGAGAGAACATGTCGCCGGTGAGACGCAAGTCCAGGAAGAACGGAATAAGGTAGAAACACTTTTTTTTTTCCTGATGAAAGAAAAGAGTCTACTCTTTCTTTTGGTGTGTTCGGTGTTTACATAGTCATAGCACAAACTATTCTGTGGCTCTTGAAAAATCAGTCAAAATGCTCAAAAAACTGGCAGTATGGGACTCTGTTCTGAAAATGGCTGCCAGTCAATGAGTTAAAATAATATTATAATATTATTAAAAACGTTTTCAGTTCCTCTCGCTTGGCGGCGCAACCACGTCATTCCTCCAACGATTTCATAAAAATTATGATAAACCGCAGGATAACATGGAGGACGATGGATTTCAAACAAAAACTTTTTTTTGTTGTTGATTCCCTGTTTATTTAGCATGTGTTTGATATAAAAAACTTAATTTGCCAACCCGTCCTGCCCCACGGAGCTAAGCGCACGACCCAAACTAACCCAATCCAGCCCAAAACTGACCCAAACTGGTCCAAAACTGACCCGAACCAACCCAAAGATGGGCTTATAATGCAGTGCGCCTTATATATGAAATGAAAAAAAAATAGGCCATTTATTGAAGGTGTGCCTTATAATGCGGAAAATACGGTAGTCCTTTATTGTTCAGTGCTTAGAGAGAAATAAGAAGCAGCATCTTTAGACTTTGTTGCTGTGGGAGTTGTTTCTTTGTGCCATTACAGCTTAAGATTTTTGACACAAAAAGCTGCTTTTTGAACAGGTGATAAGCGCTCTTCATCCCCTCAGAGGTGTTTTCCACATCTACAACTTTTGCATGAGGCCGGTGCGAAAAGCACATGTGAGACTTCAAACCTCTGAAACCTGGAATCCATCCTGATCATTAAGGGTTTGAAAGGACGAAATCGGCTCAACAAAGGTGGCCCTGGTGGACACGCTGTGTAATTACGTGTTTCTGTGAAAATACAGATTTCTGCAGCCGCAAAGACTTCTGCAGGTTTTTCCATCCATTATGATTCATTTGAGGTGGCTAATTGAGCTTTCCACAAAAAAAGACTGCAAAATGTCTGGGAAAAGACCTCAAATAAAAATGAGAAACGAAATCAGAAATGGGAGGCCTGGGATGGAGAGCAGGAACAAAAAGGAAAGAGAAGGAAGAGGTTCAAACACTTTTTTCCTCTGATCATCATGGGAAATGTGACATAAAATTGCAGTTAAAATGGAGGCGATTTGAGCCCAGACTTATGATTTATTTTATTATCAGTAACAGTAACAAGAGCACCTCTTTGATAATGATAAACAGAGTAGAGATACAGGTCCCCCTCAGGGATTTATACCTACAGAAATATATGAAAATATTGTCAAATTTTAGGACGGTGTAGACCAGGAATATGCTGTAAACTAAAATTAAAACAGTAAAAAGAGTCAATCTCAAACTTCATTCCAAACAAAGACTAAAGCAAAGCTTTTAGAAAAACTAAACCAGAGTACTGACATTTAGCACATGTTATCCAAGCGTTTATTATTGCAAAGTTACAGCAGTTTCTATTTTTATGGAATTTTCTCATTCAAGCTTTTGATTGATTAAACCACAACTTACAAACCAAACTGTATTTTCATATTGGATAAGAAGATTTAGACTGATTTTAAGTGTTAAAGATGTAAAACAATCAGATATTTGCTGATGTTAAAAGGCTTTATTGTCAAACATAAACAACATTTTAAGCTGTTTTGAGGAAAATTTTGAACAGATTAAGCAGACAAAATAAAATCCAAAACACAAAGCTAACTGTGAATCCAACCGATAGTAAAAGGTCTACAGTAAAGTCTATATTTTCACACCTTTGTGTCATTTTCACGCATTTTTATGTAAGAAAGGCCAAGTTATAGAATCCAGTTATCAAACCCAAAGCTAAGTGTGAATCCACCAGATAAACATGAAAACGATGAATATCTGCACCATTAGAAAACAGTAAGTCTA